AGTTTCCCAGTGCCTGCTCTAGGGTGTCTCACATTGAATCGTGTCATCTACAAATAAGACTTTGACTTCTTTCTTTCAATTTGTACCTCTTATTTCTTCCAGTATGCTGCTCGAGTTACAGCTTCTGGCACTGTATTTCCATAGTAGTGTCTTGTTCCTAATATTAGTGGAAGAGCTTCGAGTTTTTCTCTGTGCAGCAGAATCTTACTACAGGTCTGTTGTGTGTAGCCTTTATTAAGCTGCGATGTGTTCCCTCCATTTCTAGTCTGGATATTTTATCATGAAGAGATGTTAGATCTGTTAAAGGTGTCTTCTGTATCTGCTCATGTGAAATGCTCATGTGATCCCCATCATGTGACCTGTCACTCAGACCACTTATATGACAAATTACATTTGCTGATTCCAGTCATCCCTGCACACCTGTAGTAAAGTTAGCTTGATCACCAGGAAAGAACTTTTTGATATCTTGAATTTAGTTTACAGGTATCTTAGTGAGAATTATATGTTCTTTGGGGCTACTGGTCAGCAATTTTTGTTTTGGTCTTGTCTGACATCAGAATTAGAATGCCAGTTTCATGAGGAGTTTGGAGGCGTATCCCACCTTCCCTGTTTTATAGAGTCATTTGAGAACTTCTGCTGTTACTTACTTCTTTTTGCATGACTGGTAGAGTTCTGTGGTCATCCCTCTGGACCTAAGCAGCTGGGAGATTTTAAGTCACTGCTTCAACCTCACTATTGTTTTTTGTTTGTTTGTTTGTTTTGGGTGTTTTTTGTGGGTTTTTTTTTTATTTTTCTTTTTTTGGTTTTTCGAGACAGGGTTTCTCTGGCTGTCCTGGAACTCACTCTGTAGAGCAGGCTGGCCTCGAACTCAGAAATCCACCTGCCTCTGCCTCCCAAGTGCTGGGATATAAAGGTGTGTGCCACCACCACCCGGCCAACCTCACTATTATAGATCTTTGATTTTTTTGTTTTGTTTTGTTTTGTTTTTGTTTTTGTTTTCTTCGAGACAGGGTTTCTCTGTGTAGTCCTGGCTGTGCAGGAACTCACTCTGTAGACCAGGCTGGCCTCGAACTTAGAAATCTGCCTGCCTCTGCCTCCCAAGTGCTGGGATTAAAGGCGTGCGCCACCACCACCCGGCAAGTTTATAGATCTTTTAAATTATTATTTCACCTTTGTTAACTGTGGTAAGGTCATATGCTTTCAGATTTTCCAGTTTACTGCAATGTAAACTGTTAAGGTATGGCCCCATAATTTTCTGGATTTCATTAGTACTGTGGGAATAAAAATTAAAAACAACTTAGCAAAGACCACCAAACAACTTGCTGAACTTGCTGAAAATAGCCATAATAAAAATATCCAGGGGCAGAGTGACCAAAAATTGTAGAGACAACCAAGGACATGCTTTGACAAATCCAAACATGCACAAGTGAGTAATGGGCCACCTGGTGCTTTCCTCCCTTCCTTGAGAGGTCCGAGGTTTCATGGTCAAAAATAGTGAGTCATCCAGCCCGCTTAAATGATTGCTTACACAAATTCCTGATATTTGAAACATCCAATTATATGTAACCGCGCCAGAATTTCCCGCTTTTCCCTTCCCCCCTTGTGCCTCTCCCTATAAAAGCCCCAAGCTTTCTGGGGTCCTCGATTCTTTCCCCTGTGTGGGATGAGTTTTGACCCGAGGGCCCCTCGCTAGTAAACTGCCTTTTGCTATTTGCATCAAGTCAGTCTCTCGTGTTTCCTTGGGTGCGCACAATTCCAGGCATGACAGAGGGTCTCCCTCTGGGGGTCCCTTACAGTACCTGCTGTAATGTCTCCCTTTTTATCTCTATTATTATTAATAGGGGCTTCTTTATTTCCATTAATCTAAATGACAGCCTGTCACCAATATGCCAAAGGTTGTCCTCAGGCCTCATGCATCATGGTGTATGACTCGCTCAACACACACACTCATAATAATAAGTCAGATAAGTTAAGGACAAACATAACTCAAAGAGAAGCCACACTCGTGGTGGGCTAATGATCACCTCAATAGATAAAGAGGCTTGCTGCCAACTCTTGCAATCTGAGTTCACTCACTAGGACCAAAATGATCCTCAGATCTCAGTATGTATGCTGTGGCACATGCTTGAAAACAGATGTACATCATAAACACATATAAGCATGCAAACAGTAACAACGAGTGGATCTTCATTATTTTTTAAAAGAGAAATCCACCATCCACATATGGCAACAGAGCAAGAGGTAGTGTCTAGGAACCAGAAAGTGGTCCTCACCAGATGCTGGATTTTCTTTATCTGAGAAAAAATTGTTTATAAGCCAGTTTGGGGGATTTTTATCATAGCAGCCCAAATACAGCTATATGACTGAGAAAAATCATAATACAGTCTAACTGTATTTACAGGGAGACAGAAATGTTGCTTTTCAGTTGCTTTTCAGACTGGAGCAAAGAGAAACTACATATTCTTTTTTTTTCTATTAGTAAATCAATATATTGTCCCCCAAAAGAAAAAACTCATCATCACAATATCATCGTGTTGTCTGGACACAGGAGAAGTCACAGAAGAAGAGAGAGGAGGCAAAGCCATCTGTCTCCAGAGTGGGGACCAGGAGGAAAGGAGCTATTGCCTCCGGAAGTAAATCTCCATCGGCTCCTTAACCTTTACACTTGTTTGATTTTTAACTTTTTAGACTAGCAATGGACGTCCGCATGACATCATCGTGTGTCAGTACAGCTTGGATCTCTTTGTTCCTCCGCTGCAAGATACATTTATAACTGGCTACTTTACAAGCGAAAAATACTGAATTCTGAGAAAACCCAGACGGTTTTCTTTTCCCCAAGAGAACATGATAGGAAAGAGAGACTAAAAGCCAGATGTATAAACCAAAAACCTAGACATTTGTATCTTTCTTAAATCTGTTTTTTAAGGTATTAAAGCTAACAGTCCTATCAGGCATTTTGTTCAGAGGACTTGTAAATTTTTGGAAACATTTGAAGTCTCAAAGGAAAGGATTGGAGGTATTATCTGTGGGACTCGATGGGTCCGTGAAGTAACCTCAAATGAACACACAGACTCAGCAACCAGGCTGTGAGCTAAGAATAAGAACATGGCATTCATGACAGCATAAAACAGGAAATACTAAAAAAAAAAAAATTAAGATTATTTTTATTTCTCTCTCTCTCTCTCTCTATCTATCTATCTATCTCTCGTGTGTGTGTGTGTGTGTGTGTGTGTGTCTAGGTGTGTGTATGTGTCTATGTGTGTGTCTATGTCTGTGTCCTGACTGATAACTTTTCATGATTTGCTTACAGGAATATTAGTGATAGTTTATTCGGGAAAACATGGGCATCTTGCTAGTAGTTTCAGTACTGAAAAAAAAATGTTTCTTATTTGCAACTTCTCTTGAAAACTTGGAAGATTTTCCCCTTGAAAACAGAATTAGAAAGTCTTCCCTGCTGTCCCAGCAGCATGGCATCAACAGGCTGAGCTCATGAGCCGTCTGCCCTGCGCAAGCATCATGTCCGTAACTCTCAGATCTCTGCTTCATCTTTAAATCTTTAACTCTTCACTGATTTGTTTTGATTGTTGATGCTATTTACGTGATACCTGGATGACTGTGCTTGGACTCACAATGCCCATCCTTCTTGATACTGGGATGGAGGGGGTGGTCATAAATATCTGTCTTGCTTAATACCAGGAGGAGTGAGTCCATAAAGCCTGCCTTGCTTGATACTGAGATGCATGGATCCATAATGCCTGTCTTATTCATGATCTTTAAATCCTAGAGTGGTTGTCAAGAATTGTTCAAAACACTGGGCAGTGGTGGCACACGCCTTTAATCCCAGCACTTGGAAACAGAGGCAGGCGGATTTCTGAGTTCGAGGCCAGCCTGGTCTACAGAGTGAGTTCCAGGACAGCCAGGGCTATACAGAGAAACCTTGTCTTGAAAAACAAAAGAAAACAAACAAATAAACAAAGATTTGTTCAAGACAAAAACAAAATCGCAAGCCTGCTGGCATTATACGCTCACCGTTAATCTTAGCACCAGGGAGGCAGAAGAAGGTGGATCTTTGTGAATTCCAGGCCCGTCTACAGTGAATCAGAACAGCCAGAGCCACCAGGTATGTCCTGAAAATCAAACCAGGGTCATATACAAGAACAGCAAGTGCTCTTAACTTGCTGTTAAGAGCCATCTCTCCAGCCCTTGGGATTGGGTCTCAAAAGAGTGGTAGTATGGATGCAAGGTAAGAGGCTACTAAGAAAGAAGCAAACAACTCATTCCTGCATCAGGAACTGGCTCGTCTTTCAAATGCGTAAGTTTTAAGGGAAGTTATAAGACACACAAAGCCCAAAACTGTACATTTAAATACTGCTACATCATGGTCCTTTTATGAAGCCAGGTGAGGAGAAGATCCTGAAATGCCTGTTGAAGGTCTTTTAAGAAACAGTGTTTAAATAAAACACTAGTATCCAAATATGTTTTATTGGATTCAAATTCTAGAAAACTTTGTTCATACAAACTCAGTTCTTTCTCTTTATTTGCTCATTCCCCAGCCACTCTGCAAACATAAATTTTCCTCACAGTTAGGCCATCTTTGTCCCTCCGTGTCCCTCTCATGCATGTGTGCTGCACCTGCTCCAGGTCCATTGTGGAAAGAGTATCAGCCAGAAGGAAAGTGGCTTCACATTTTTTCCCAGAAGAACAAAAGCAAAGTGAGTCTTAAAGTACCTCGTGATAAAAAACTAAAGTGCCATGTGAGAATGATAAACGGTACTTTACCGAACAGTGGTAACTGTAGAGTTAACAGAAATGAAATCTTAACCAGAAAAAAAAAAATTTTTTTTTTTTGCAGTTTCTCATTTTAAAAGAACTTCTTTCTGACCTTCATTATGAGACGTCTCCTTGGGATCTCAAATGTCTCTTCAGAACGCTGCCTCTCACAGAACTGTCCTCTTCCGTACGCAATCTTATAAGCATTGAAACCAGTAACACAAAAGGACTCAACTCCAGATGCGTTTTCATCTACTTACAGGGAGGACTGCTGTATGGGACACAAAGAACAGGACTGTAGCAGGAACTTGGGGGCTCTGTCACAGTGTCCACTGAGCCATGTCTAGAAACATTGGCCCCATTGCCACAGACACACCTCTGTGTCTACTTGACACTATGAAAGAATTCGAGAGCTTCATCCCCATGGATGCCGGAAACAGGTTCAGATTCAACAGTACATGGGGTCATGTGGGGTCACTTGGGCTGAAGTGGTCTCCTCAGGCCGACTGTCTTTTCCCTCAGTGAAACCTGGATTTCCTTACACACATTCTCCTGGCACTTCAGTTTTGCTAGGCGCTTCGCTTCGTACTCCTTTTCAAGTGTCATGGCTAAAAATAATAATAATAATAAAAAGCAAATGAAGCCATCCAAGCGGCATTTCCACCCAGCACCATCTCAAAGCTGAGTGGCACACAGCAGGTAAACACTGTTGAAAAATTTACTTTACTGAGAACTGAGAGGAGGCATGGATGTGGACAACAAATGTAACTAGTCAAGGATACAATCGCTAGTACTAAAGCAGAACTTAACTCACTTTGTACAGAAGGGAGCAGGCATTCCTGTCTGGTTTGGCTTGCCAAGAGATTCATAGGACTACCAAATGCGATTTCTCCCAAGAACGGCAACTTGATGTTCGTCAAGTTTGTGTACCAGGTCTTTGTGAGCTCTGCAAGGTCCCATGGTTCCTGTCTGAGGCAAAATTTCACAAACTTATTCAACCAGTTTTCACTAGGTGTTCTGCGTAGTGAAACCTACGGATGATGTCTTGCTGCCTTCCCCTCCGCTTTAGCTTATGGAAGATTTTTTCAGAGTTATCATCCTAACAAGAAACAAAATCCTGCCGGGCGGTGGTGGCGCACGCCTTTAATCCCAGCACTTGGGAGGCAGAGGCAGGCGGATTTCTGAGTTCGAGGCCAGCCTGGTCTACAGAGTGAGTTCCAGGACAGCCAGGGCTACATAGAGAAACCCTGTCTCGAAAAAACCAAAAAAAAAAAAAAAGAAAAGAAAAAAAAAGAAAAAAAATCCTACTAACTAACTCAAAGACACATTGGCAAAAGTCCAGAAACTATGCCAGGGGTTTGTCCGGTGCAGCAGCCTACAGTTCCAGCCAATCTACAAATGAGATTGTGAACAGGAACTATAAGCTACAATGTCTGTCTGTCTGTCTGTAGTTATTTATTTATTTATTTATTTAGACACAGTGTCTCATTAGGAAAGCCTAGCTAAAGCCGGGCAGTGGTGGCACATACCTTTATTCTCAGCACTTGGGAGGCAGAGGCAGGTGGATTTCTGAGTTCAAGGCCAGCCTGGTCTACAACGTGAGTTCCAGGACAGCCAGGGCTACACAGAGAAACCCTGTCTTAAAAAAACAAAACAAAACAAAACAAAACAAAACGAAAAGAAAAGAAAAGAAAAGAAAAGAAAAGAAAAGAAAAGAAAAGAAAAGAAAAGAAAAAAGACAGCCTAGCTAGCCTTGAACTTCTATGTAGACCAGGCTTGCCTCAAATTCACAGAGATCTGTCTGCCTCCCAAGTGCTGGATTTAAAGGCATGCACCACCACACCCAACTACAATAACTATTGAGGCTGATCAAATAATGTCATAAGCTGGATATAGTAGTGCACACGTGTAATCCTGAGAGTGGAGGGACACAACTGTAATCCTAGTACTTGGGAGGCAGAGGCAGGAGGACAGTGATTTTGAAGATAGCCTAGACTGTATAGTAAGTTCCAGAACAGCCTGATGCACATAGTAGAACCCTGTCTCAAGGAACAACAAAGGGATGGAGTTAGAGCAAGCCCCAAGCAAAACATTCATATACAAAAAGTAAAATAAATATAAAACGAAATAACAGCAAACAGTTGTTTGGAAATGGTGAAAGGCTCAGCAGGTAAAAGTGCCTGACTGCCTGCAATTTGTACCCAGAACCTAGGAAATCATAACTTCCTAAAAACTGCTCTCTGCCCTCCATTCACAAGCAGGCATACATATACACAAATATAAATTAATATTTAAATAAATATTAAATAAATACTTAAATAAATAGTAAAATAAATAAATATTTAATTTTTTTAAATAAAAAAGAGATGTGTACAAGAATGTAAGAGATAGATAATAGGCAGATGAATGAGGATCCATGATAGGTGGACAGATGAGAGATGAGGTAGGTGATTGATAGGTGGGGTATGTAGATGATAGGTGATACAGAGGTATGATAGTTATGTGATACAGAGATAGATAGATAGATAGATAGATAGATAGATAGATTGATAGATGATAGCTAATAGATGATAGACAATAGGTAGGTAGATAGATGAGGTAGGGTATATTCACAAAAGTAAGGGGGCAGAGAGATGTTTTCTTGTAGAGAGCACTTGCCACTCTTGCTGGGGACCACGATTTGGTTCTCAGCACCCACACTGTGGCGCACAACCTAAGTCAGTTCCAGGAGATCCACTGCCCCCTTCTGGCCTCTGAAGGCAGTCCATGCACATGGTGCAGAGACAATATTTAACACAAAACATAAAACTAAAAAAAGGAAGACAGAGCATTATCACACTGAGTAGACATGTGGCTCATACAAAGACTTTGGTATATAATACTGAGAAATAAATTCACATTAAAAGTCATTGCTAAACCGGGCGGTGGTGGCATGCCTTTAATCCCAGCACTTGGGAGGCAGAGGCAGGCAGATTTCTGAGTTCAAGGCCAGACTGGTCTACAGAGTGAGTTCCAGGACAGCCAGGGCTACACAGAGAAACCCTGTCTCGAAAAAAAAAAGCAATTGCTATGGACCTTAATTTTGCTTAATTATGAAGGACAAATACCAGCTACATGTTTCTCATCTGCAGTTCTTAATACTTCAGCCCTTTTGTCTTTAGTCTAAGTGAGGGAGATGGTCTGTGATTTGTCATCCCAAGTTTCCTCCTCCAGTTTCACTGATACATCATACAACTTTAGGGCATGACTTAATGGTATAAAATTATTATAGAAGCAGTTTTAAAGGTCACAAAGATATATTTATAAAAATAACCTGCCTGTTTCTTTTCTTTTTTTTTCTTTTTTTTTCTTTTTTCTTTTCTTTTCTTTTTTTTTTTTTTTTTTTTTTTGGTTTTTTAAGACAGGGTTTCTCTGTGTAGCCCTGGCTGTCCTGGAACTCACTCTGTAGACCAGGCTGGTCTCGAACTCAGAAATCCGCCTGCCTCTGCCTCCCAAGTGCTGGGATTAAAGGTGTGCGCCACCACTGCCCGGAAACCTGGCTGTTTCTAAAAACAGACTTTGAGATAGCTCAGCCACTAAGAGTGCCTGCCAGCAAGATTGATAACTCAGGCTTGATCCCCAGGGTCCCTCATGGATGGAACCAGCTCCATAAGTTGTCTTCTGACCTCCAACATACATGTGCTGTAGTATGTGAACACACACACACACACACACAGAGAGAGAGAGAGAGAGAGAGAGAGAGAGAGAGAGAGAGAGAGAGAGAGAGAATATTTTTAAATACAACTTATTAAAAACACAGAAATCATCTCAAAGTCTATCAAGAAAGAGACACCTAAGGATCTGGAGATGTAGCTCAGCTACTATACTGTTTACCAAGCATGGATGGAGGCCTGGGTTCGATTCCCAGCATCACATAAAAACAGTATTTTCTATTTTTCTTTTATACAGTGTCTATACTGTGTTGGTGGGGGCATTTTTTTTTGTTTGTTTGTTTGGGGTTTGTTGTTGTTGTTGTTTTGAGGGGTTAGGGGTGTTTTATGACTAATGTATTTATTTTTACTCAACTGCCATGGCAGGTCTTCAATTTATAATCTTCCTGCCTCCATCTCCCAAGTAGCTGGGTTTTCAGGCCTGTGTCACCTGATCTATAATTGAAATGATACTTACTAGAATGGTACTTCCTGTAGTTCAAGGTCTAAACCGCACCCAATTGACAAAACTGAACTGAATGTAATGAATCATAATCTTGTGTAGCCCATTAAGGATACACACTGACATCTTAGAACACTGTTTGAAAAGAAAACTTTGCTTGACTCATAATGGTAAATGTCATAAAGCAAAGGGGTTAAAAGATAAAAGCCAAGAAAGGTTGTGCATGCCTTTTAGTTCCCGCACCTAGGAGGCAGAAGTTGAAAAACTACCTTATCTGCATGGCCAGCTCATGAAGGCCAGCTAAGGTTATCCAGATAAGACCCTGTATCAAAAGAAGGAGAAGAAGAAGAAGAAGAAGAAGAAGAAGAGGAGGAGGAGGAGGAGGAGGAGGAGGAGGAGGAGGAGGAGGAAGAGAAGAAGGAGGAAGAAGAAGGAAGAGGAGGAGGAGGAAGAAGAAGGAAGAGGAGGAGGAGGAGGAGGAGGAGGAGGAGGAAGAAGAAGAAGAAGAAGAAGAAGAAGAAGAAGAAGAAGAAGAAGAAGAAGAAAGCAATTTTTAAGGTAATACCACAGAGTGCAACTTCTGCATAGCAATGCATTCGTTATGTGTTCTCTGTATTCCAGGCAACCAGCAGGTCTTAGACATGCACTGTTTCATTGGCAAGCTCCACCCCAATAGACTTTTATGTCACAGATGTAGGCATTAAAGCTAAGACACAGTGTGCAGAGATGCCAGGCTTGGAGCTCAGGGCTTCAGACTGAAAAGTCCAGCTTGATACACACTGCCTGCCCACGAGGACAGGAAGCTAAACTGACCCTTTGTACCAGCTTAAAAAAAGTGTTCTTACACCGTGGGGTTAGTACATTTTTACACTATAAAGATGTGTTTTAAGATGGGAGTAGTAAAGGTGTTTTTGAATGACTGAAACTAAAGAAAAATGATACACAGACATAAATATGAGTATATGTATATATGTATATACACACATATATATATACAAATGAAACCCATTATTTTACATGCTAACCTAAAAAACAATTTTAGAATCTTTTTAAACAAGGTGATACAATGTCTCCCAGAACATACGCATATGACTGTCCTTTAATCAGCTTAGAAACTCGTTTTCTCATTTTAAAGTATTGTTTCAGTGTAAAGACTGACTAGAATTGTCTCTTAGCTTTAACTGTCTACTTGACACAGCCTGGAGTGGCCTAAGAAAGGATCCTTAACTGAGGGATTTCCCAGATCACAAGGCCTATGACCATATCTGAGGGGAATGGAGCCCAGCCCGCTGGAGGCTGTTCTACTTCCTGGAAGATGATCTGGGGTCAGTCTAGTTAAGCATAGGCCTGTGAGCCTGCCAGCAAGCAGTGTTCCTCTATGCTTTCTGCTTCAAACTTCTGACTGGAATATCTGCCCCCATTGCCCTCAGGAATGACTTGTGATTTGAAAGTATCCTGGAAGTGAAGCCAAGTAAGTCCTTCCCTCCATTGAGTGCATATTTTAATATTTCAGATTATTTTATGTAGGTGTTTTACTTGCATATGTCTATCTCATGCATGTTTTATGCCCATTTGGTCCAGAAGGGGGCGACATATCTAATGAAACCAGTTAAGGACTGTTGGGGGCCACCTTGTGGGAACCGGAAACCAAGCTCAGGTCCTCTGCAAAAGCAGCAGATGCTCTTAATCTACGAGCCACATCTCTAGCCCCTGTGCATATATTCTTATAAAAGTACCATTTGGGAAGCTGGAAAGATGCATCACCCATTAAGAGTACTAACTGCTTTGCATAACGGACCGAGGTTTGGTTCCCAGCATCTACAGAGAGATGCTGTAACATCCTCTCTGTAACTTCAATATCAGGGGATCCAACACCGTCTTCTGGCCTTCGTGGTCACCTGCTCAAACGTAGTGCACATACAGAGGCACATACAAACATAAAAATACTTTTTCAAGTAGTCTTGAAAATCCAGATCCGTTGAAGTGGTTTCATGTACTCCAGTAACTTGTGAACAGAAGTGTGCCTTGTCCCTGTCTCAAGCTCCAGCCATGGTACTGGAATTAATGTGTGTGTGTGTGTGTGTGTGTGTGTGTGTGTGTACTTACATTTTATAACAGCTGCCCTTCAAAATGGTTTGTACTGTGTTCCTTCTTGGCAAGCCATACGCCATGACAGATGATCACAATCATTCCCTTACATAGGAGCCTGATGTAACATCTGCGCCGCTCTAGTCACTTTGCCTGAAAGAACAGCAACAGGCCTAATTAACAGCTCTCATTTGAATATTTTTATGGCCAAATAATCAAAGGCCAGGAGAAAGCATTTGGGGCTGTCAGGAAGTATATCGTAAACATTCACTGGACCTGAACCGTGAACATAAAAGCTAGTTCTGTTCATTTCCAGGAAGTTGCTCAATCAGTTCAAGCACCGTCTGAGGTGAGGGAAAGCCAGGCGAGGGTCATCCGGAGCAAGACTGCAGTTGGCACCCCCACACCCAGGCACGGTAGACAGTCATTGAGTGTGCCTGAGTCCCATCGCCGGGTCTCGTAGCTGCACGCCTTTGTGGCTGTGGTGGGGACAACTACCAGCAGCGGCATGGAACCCCAGGGATGCACTGGTCACCGAAGGGCACGGCCCTTTCCTGCTCGCAGTTCCAGACAGAACCGGCTAGGGCGCAGTAGCGAGTGTCGGCCTCGCTCTCCCAGCCCATACCGCTCCCGGAGCCACTGTACCCCGCAGGTCAGCCGCACCCTGGCCGCGGCCCCGACCCAGGGCAGCGCGCGCTAGGTGCACATGGCCGCGCACTCGCAGCGGTCCCGCCGCGGACACGCGCCCGCTTGCTTGCTTGTGCTCCTGATTGCTCCTGCGCCTGATTGCTCAGGCGCCCGGCTCACCCGGAGCTCACCCGGAGCTCACCCGGCGCCTACCTGCGTCACCCGTCGCCTCAATAAAGGGCTTTGTGTACGCGCGGGGCGCAGACTCAGCCCCCCCCATGGAAGTCACTTCGCTCGAGTGGGTGACAGTCGCTGTCCCACGCCCATGCTGGAGGATAAGACGACAGCTCCGTGTTCCTGCGAAGAACAGGTGGACTCCATGTAGGCACCTCTTAGGGTCCCAAGCAAACTGTGGCACTATGCGGGAGGGTTTTGCTAGAGCTGTCCCTTGCTAACACCAGGGCCTTCCCTGTGTCGGTCCTCCGAACCTAAATGACTTCATAAAGCAAAGAGGATATCATATGTGTATCTTTCATGGGTTATGAGAACTAAAGATTAGGCCTGAGAACCTCAAGCCCATGGTAAGCGCCAGATTACATCATTGTGAGTTTAGTAACAACGCTATGAAACAGAGGGTTCGTTGAGAAGGAATGAAACTCAGTATTTATAGTGAGTTCAGGGCGAACTTTTAAGGTTAAATCCTTGACTCGCTCTATCTGTCGCTGCTCTTTTTTGCTTTGTTGAAACAGTCCGCAGGGCAGTAGTGGCGCAGGCCTTTAGTCCCAGCACTTGGGAGGCAGAGGCAGGCAGATTTCTGAGTTTGAGGCCAGCCTGGTCTACAGAGTGAGTTCCAGGACAGCCAGGGCTACACAGAGAAACCCTATCTCAAAACAAAACAAAAGAAAAAGAAACTGTCCAGACTGACCTAGAACCACTATGTAGCCCAGGCTTGCTTCAAACTTGCAGCAAGTCTATTTCAGCTTCCCAGGTGCTAGACTGGAACTACAGGAAAGGACTATCTGCCTAGCAAATTATCCTAGGGCAAAGAATGAACACACACACACACACACACTAGGGTAGCGATCTATCACTGACTGAACTTAGAATGTCCAGGAAAGCTCTGGCAAGTTGCATGATGGGATCTCTGCCAGCGACTGCCAATCTGGTTTATCTGTAGAAGGTGCTTCTGTACCTAGAAGAAACTAGAAGGCAACGAAGCTTGACTCATCATACCTGTAGTCCAAATGGGAAATGTGTATGCCGTATGAGTGATGCCCCTGATGGATTATGTGACAGTGTACTAAAGTGCAACCTGATTTGATTCAAATTAGCATAGAATGGAGACTGCAAAGTGCCCTCCGACCTAAGTTTGGTTCCAAGCACCCATGTGGTGGCTCACAGGCGGCATCTGGGACTCAGACTCTTGGGTATATGGCACTCTCTGAACTCTGAAGGCATCAGGCATGCATGTGGTGCACATATATACACAGTCTTGACTAAAACTCCACTGAGACCCAAAGCTAGAACCATCAAGTAAACAGCCCCAGGATTTCTGGCTGTCAGAAAATTAGATTCAGGATCTAGTTCAATTGTTCAGTGCTGGGCGTTGAACCTAGGGGCCCTTTGGTTTCAACGCCCAGCACCAAAGTGGCACTTGTGGTAGCATATGCCTGCACTCTCAGAGCACTGGGGAGGTAGAGGCAGGAGGATCAGAATTGTGAGGTTATTCTTAGCTACATAGACAATAGTAGACTAAAGGACATGAGAGCCCGTCTCAGCAACGAAGACACTGTTCATTGGTTTGGTTTGGTTTGGTTTGGTTTGGTTTGGTTTGGTTTGGTTTGGTTTGGTTTGGTTTGGTTTTTTCAAGACAGAGTTCCTCTGTGTAGCCCTGGCTATCCTGGAACTCACTCTGTAGACCAGGCTAGCCTCAGACTCAGAAATCCACCTGCCTCTGCCTCCCAAGTGCTGAGATTAAAGGCGTGAGCCACCACTGTCCGGCGCCATGACAAGAGTGTGCAAGTCACAAGGTGGCTTGTAAGAACCAGTTCTCTCCTTGCACACTACTTGGGTCCTGAGGACTAAACTGGAGTCATCAGGCTTGTCTGCAAGCCTCTAATCCCTGAGCCATCTCACCAGCCCCACCCCATTTTATTATTAAGATTAATACTAAGTACTTACCTGGCAAAGGAGACACCATGATCACAAGGGTGATTTTCCCAAGGTGGGGCTTATCCATCGTCCCCTGGACAATGCTGACCCCTGTGAGTTCCCCACTGTGAGAAACCAACTTCATTGCTTATGGTAGAGGGGGCTGTATTCATATTTTCACCTAAATTAGAAGAGGAGGAGGAGAAGGAAAAGGAGGAGGAAGAAGAGGAGGAGAAGGAGGAGGAGGAAGAAAAGGAGAAGGAGGAGGAGGAGGAAGAAGAGGAGGAGGAAGAAGAGAAAGATTAAGATAAAGATGAACAGAAACCACACTTTTAAAGACATTCGCGCCAGGCAGTGGTGGTGCACACCTTTAATCCCAGCACTTGGGAGGCAGAGGCAGGCAGATTTCTGAGTTCGAGAGTTCGAGGCTAGCCTGGTCTACAGAGTGAGTTCCAGTACAGCCAGGGCTACACAGAGAAACCCTGTCTCAAAAAACCAAACCAAACCAAAAATAAAATAAAATAAAATAAAATAAAATAAAATAAAATAAAATAAAATAAAATAAAATAAAATAGACATTTGCCCTAAGAGGCTCTTCTGAACGCTCACCCAGAGCCACTTATATATTTAAACGTATATACTTAAACCCTTAAATACTATGAGCAAACAGCATGACACCTCCATACCCACCCTGTTCCAGGAGAAAGAAAGCTAAACATTCTAGGAGATGGATGGAGGCTGGCCAATAAAAGATTTACAAACAAAAAACACTTTCTGATTTTTTTTTTTTTTGAAAATACTAAACCTGGGCTGGAATAAATCAGTGGTGAAGAGTTCGGAAGACTCAGCCAGTTCCCATAGCCTACTCGGAGGCTAACGAGCACCTGTAATTCCAGTTCCGGAGGACCCAATGCCCTCTTCTGGCCTCTGAGGGCATTGTACATATATAGTGCACAGACGTGCATGCAGAAAAAATACCTGAACACATAAAATACAATCACAAGGGCTGGAGAGGTGGCTCAGCAGTTAAGAGCACTGGCTGCTCTATGAAAGGACTCAGGTTTGAATTCCAGCACCTACATGGTCACTCAGAGCACTCTATAACTGCAGTCTCAAGAAATCTGATGCCCTCATCTGGCCTCTGAACATACTATATACACACATGGTGCATACATACATACATACATACATACATACATACATACAAACATACATACATACCTGCAATGAAAACTCCCATACACATAAAAAGAAAGTGAGTTTTTTTTTAAAGGAGGAAAAGGAAACACCAAATTCTAGAGGAGAGTGGACATGAGCAAAGGCATAAGAAAAGATAGTGAACTAGAAAAAAATGTAATGGCATGAGTATAAAGATCCGGGGAGAAATCCCATTATTTGTAAGCTAACTTAAAAAATAATGACCAAATTTTCCCTCCCTCCTCCCTTCTCCTCTCTCTCCTCCTTCCTCCTCCCTCTGCATGGTTAAGTTCATCTTCACCTCTATTTCTGAGTCAGTCTCCCTGTTTTGCTGGTACCTCATCCTCTTTCTCTACTTAGGTAAAATTGTGTCTAGTCCAGAAATAAGTTAGCATTGGCCTTTTTAATTATTTAAATGAACACTGCTGCCACCTAACGTTAAGATGGAATTACAAAGAGGACTGCAAAAGAGATGGGACTGTCCAATCACAACAAAACTGTGATAGCATTTACCATGCTTTCAATGCCGTTCATAGACTGCAAACATTAGCTCATTTAATTATCACATATTGATGGCATTGTTAGTTTTGTGATTTTTGTGGTGTTCCTCTTCTGAAGTAACACATCATGAGGGCTCAGTCCTTGAATCTCTCTCTCTGAGGATTAGGTCTAAGAACAGGAGAAGAGGCCTGCCCTCACACGGGGGCCTTTGGGGACTTAAAATATTTCCCCACGATGTATGAATTCAAAGGACTTGTCTGCCTCATTATAGGTGAAAATCTCATTCATGTTAGCTTATGAACTACGACACACTGGAGGAGAAATTCAGTTGCCAAGGGCACTGGTTGTTGTTATAGAGGACACAGGTTCAGTTCTCAGTACCTGCATCAGGCGGTTCATAGCTGTCTGTAACTCCAGCTCCTGGGATCTGACATCTTCCTCTGGCTTCCATGCATATCTGCATGTATGTGGTGCACACACAGACAGACAAGTAGTGGGTGCTGAAGGCAGGCAGATCTCTGTGAATTCAAGGCCAGCCTGGTCTACAAAGTGAGCTCCAGGACAGCTAGGGGCTGTTACACAGAGAAACCCTATCTCAAAAAACAAACTAACTAAAAATACATTCTAGTAAAAAAAAAAAAATCAGTAGCTAGATCATTAATGAACTTACTTAAGAAAGTAATTAGAAAAAATACTCTCCGACAATGGGAGAAAGGGACCTGGGATAAACTAAAGTAACTAGAGAAGTTACAGGTGTCACATGAAAACTTTTTGTTTGTTTTGTTGGTTCAGACAGGGTTTCTTTTTTTTTTTTTTTAATTCAGAAAGCCAGTTTATTTTTAAGACTCGGTCATAAACTTTTAGCGGGTACCAATAGTCACCTGCCATACTCGCACCAAGTTGTCTGTATAGCCAGCAAACAGAGTCTGTAAGAGAATGACAGGGTCATGTCATTGGTATGTCACCCAGCAATGAACTTTATAGTCCAAAGACCCCCTGTCTTTCATGACATGCTAAGAGGAAGCAGCAGCAGCTTGCCATACAAGTTGAGACATTTTAAGCTTCCATATTTTCCGTAACAGAAATAGGTTATATAATATTCTCTGTATATAACCAGCCCATCCTAAATTAAGCTGATTTAACTTTAAAATAACAGCAAGGAAGACAAATTGGGGAGCTGAGCTGAAGGGCCAAATATACTTACCTGGCCATCTGCGGACCATGCCAGAGAGGTGCACTGGGGCGGCTCTGCCTTGCTGCTGGTGCTGATAACTTCTTGTTTCAATTCGTCTACAACGATCTTGCCCTCCAAGTCCCAGATCTTGATACTGGGGCCAGTGGCAGCACAAAGCCAGTAGCGGTTGGGGCTGAAGCACAAGGCATTGATGATGTCACCACCATCTAATGTGTAAAGGTGCTTGCCTTCATTGAGATCCCACAGCATAGCCTGGCCATCCTTGCCTCCAGAAGCACAGAGAGATCCATCTGGAGAGACGGTCACTGTGTTCAGATAGCAGTGTGGCCAATGTGGTTGGTCTTTAGTTTGCAGTTAGCCAGATTCCACACCTTAACCAGCTTGTCCCATCCTCAGGAGACGATGATTGGGTTGCTGCTGTTCGGGGAGAAGAGAACACAAGACACCCATTCTGAATGACTCTTGTCCTGAACAGTGTACTTGCAGACACCCAGAGTATTCCATAACTTTATGGTCTTGTCTCGGGACCCAGAGACAATCTGCCGGTTGTCAGAGGAGAAGCCCATGCTCAGCACATCCTTGGTATGGCCCACAAATTGTCTCGTGGTAGTGCCCGTTGTGAGATCCCAGAGGCGCAGTGTTCCATCCCAGGAGCCTGAGAGGGCAAACTGACCATCAGAGGAGATAACCACATCACTAACAAAGTGAGAGTGACCTCGCAGAGCACGCTGTGGTATGCCATAGTTGGTCTCATCCCTGGTCAGCTTCCACACGATGATGGTCTTGTCTCGAGACACTGACAGGATCATGTCCGGGAACTGCGGTGTGGCGGCGATTTGTGTTACCCATCCATTATGGCCCTTAAGGGTCCCACAAAGGGTCATCTGCTCGGTCATGGCTGCAGCTGATGCGAGTGTCGCCACAGCGACAAGGATGGCACCGGATAGCTCAAGGAGCCAAGCGCCACCTCAGACAGGGTTTCTTTGTATAGTTCTGGCTGTCCTAGAACTCATTCTGTAGACCAAGATAGCCTCAAACTCACAGAGATTCATCTGCCTCTGCCTCCAGAGTGCTGAGATTAAAGGTGTGCGCCATCACCACCTGGTACAATGAAAACTTTAAGACAATGAAAAAAAATTGAAGAGTAAAAAATTTGGGGGAGAATTTAAGTTCTCTTGAGTTGGCAGAATTAATACTGTGAAAATGATTAATCTACGGGTTCTATGAAAGCCCATCAAAATTCCAATGCTATTTGTCCTAGAACTAGAAAAAAAAATCATAAAAGTCACATGGAGACAGTAAGAGCCAGAATGGCAAACAATCCTGAGCAGAAAGGAACCACCAGAGATGTCACAGTGATAGAGACAGAAACGTAGGCCACTGGAACTTAACAGTGAACCCTACAATCAACATGAAGTTATGGCCATCTAATTTTTTGATTAAGGGGTCAAAAATATATACTGGAGTGGAAAAGCCCACTCAGTGGATAGTCATGGGAGAACCTGGGTGTCTGCCTGCAGAATAATTAAAGTAATTAAATAATTTATTAATTAAATTAATTAATTAAAATAATTTTAAAACTACATTCAGTTTTCTCTTTCTTCACAAAAATCAGTTCAACACAGATTAAAGACCTTAATCTAATGCTAAAGTGCTGAACTCGCTGGAGGAAGATGTCGGGTATTTCAAGATAGATACGGCCACAACAAGAGGGTCCAAGGAGGATCGAAGACGCAGAGAAGGAGCCAAGAATCAGAATGGGATTGCAGCTGGGTCCACAGGGCAGGAGAACGTCCTCACCAGCTTACACAGACAGGAAGTGAGACTCCAGAGTATACATAAAGATCTGCAAAAATTAAACTCCGACAGACTCCTGGGCGTCGTGGCACATACCCTTAACCCCAGTTCACAGCAGGAAGGTAGATGTGAGTTTGAGGCAAGCATGGTCTATTGCAAGGGGGTGGGGGAGAGAGAGAGAGAGAGAGAGAGAGAGAGAGAGAGAGAGAGAGAGACCCTGAGTGGTGGTTTTTGCATGCCTTTAATCCCAAACACAGAGGGAAACAGATCTCTAACAGCCAGGGCTACACAGAGAAACCCTGTCTCAAAGGAAGGAAGGAAGGAAGGTTGGTTTTTAAAATGGCCAACTCTAGAGATACCTATTTTTAATTTTTTTTAATTAAAAAGAAAAAGTGACACAATTAAGCAGTAAATAAGATTCCTCATCTTCACGACTGTGCCAGCATTTAGTGTCCTTTGCTTTGCCTGCCTGGCTCTCTCTCTCTCTCTCTCTC